TTATCTTTTTTACTTATGTTTTATTAATTTGTTTTAGTTTTTATGATGGTAAAGTAGTGAACCACATACCAGACACTGAAGAAAAAGTGGTGCCCTCTAGATATCAAGCACCTCCAGATCGCAGTCAAACTTTGTTAACTCTTAAAGAAGATGCTGAATTGTCTACCCATGAACTCAAGCAATCTAAAGACTTTCCCATGAAGTTAACCCAGTCCCTTTTGCATATGTCCCAAAAACAACGGTCTCATCTGGAAAAAGGAGAGTTTTTACAAAGGTAAAATTTTATTTTTAATATTTTTTGCACGTAAATTAGATGCATACAGTATCATAATTTTTAAAGTGTTTATTTATTATAATTTATTAGTTAAAAATGAATTAAATAAAATTTAAAAAAGTATACTATAACATTCAACATTTTTTGTTTACAAATTGTTGAAATAGAAAATGTATATACATGTTTTGCTTGTTATTTAATAATGATATTTAGTAATTGAGCTTATTGTTAAATTTATTATTTATGATTGTGCATTTTATTATTTTATTGTTGGTAATTGTATTTTATTTGGATATTTTTTATTTTTTTTTGTGTGTGTGTGTGTATGTGCTTGGTAATCAATTGTAGAGCAAAAACTTCAAAAATGGGCATCTACAACCCAAACCCCAGCACCCCTTATCACCAATCTTGGTGGGGCACAAAACCTAGAGCTACGCACGTATCTTACAATCCAAATTCAGCCCAAGACAGTGATCTGGCTAGTCTTAGCGAAGCATCTGTTTCTACTGATTGTTTAAGGAGGTAAGTTTTTTTTTTATAATTTCATTTCTACCTTACGACAAAAAAATCATGTAAGTACAAAAATGGCAACAAAAATAAAATCTTTAATCAAAATGAATTTTTTAGGCAATTGGCTGAGATTCGTGATCCAAAAATTATAGCCAAGAAGACTGCTCAATTAGAAATGAAAGAAGTGCAGAAATATGCTCGTAGGAATGTTGAGGGTTCGATGACTGCTACAATTATCCCCCGCACAATGAGAGAACCTCAATGCAATGTAAGTAATTTTGTGTTATTGTTAATTTTTCAATATTTTTAATATCGTTAATATGTTTTTATTTAGAAACCAGCAATGGAACCAAAGATGTTTGCTTCTATACTCACTGAAAAGTTAGAGAAAATAAAACTGGAACGTGATAATGAAGAGAAATGGGATAATAAATTGATTAAAAATCTTTCAGAGGTTTGTGAGCTTAATATCAATTTTTTTATTTATAATATGTAATTGTTAATATTTTTTTTTTAATTTCAGCTTAAATTTGACAGCGAATCTGGCAAAATTGATGATCCCAAAACGTTAGACGAAATGTTTAGAGCATCATTAAAACTACCTGATGGTAGTGATGATGAAATATTAGGTGTGTTTATTGAATCAAATTTTAACATTGCATGTAATGATAAATAAATATACTAACCTTAAAAATATTGTAAAACATGTAAATCAAAATAACATTATTTTATGTTAATTATGAACTAACTAAACCTAACAATAATCTACCTTGTGTAATTTTTTTATTAATATACCTTTAATATATTTACCTATATTCTTATCTCATATAAGAGTAACCTTGAGTTGTATGCTTCTGTACGTAACAGTGATAATGAGTGTAGTAACACTTACTCAATTGGTCATTGAAAACCGATTTAATCAATGATAGTGGTCTGACAGAACCAGGCAAAAATTGGTTTCCACCTAGAGTTACTCTTATTTGAGACAGAATATACATCCTTGTTTGTTCTTGTTATTTATTTTTCTAATTTTCTTCTTGTTTATATTTATTATACATTTAGATCAACATGTACAAAAATACTTTAAATCGCCTCCTAAATCACCTGAACAATCGTTACACAGGCGACAAGGTTCAGGCAAAGTCAACCGGCCTGTTCAGCAATTTGCTAGTACTTATCTTGCAGCAGCTAATCCTAATCTGTCCAAACGTAGAGACAAAGTATGTTTGTTTTTCATTTGGCCTTATAATATAATAGTATATTATACACAGTTTTATATATTATTATCAGGATAATCGAGCATCTGGTTACGATAGTGGCAATTACACTGATTTTACAGCAGATAGTTCTGAACCGGGTCGCCATGTGCCTAAAAGTCGATCTATACCAGACTATCAAAATTTTGTTCCAAACCCAGAGCTTAGAGTGTCGAGTATGATCACATTGAAACATAATGAAATAATAAATACTAATATGTTCAATTTAATTGATTAGGTTTAGGACGTCATACTTGGGGTAGCCGACGTACAATGACTGACAGTGGAATCAGTGTTGTATCAGGTCAATCACAATTACCTACCAATGTCAACAAGACACGGGAAGAGTAAGTTTATTTTGTTTTATATTTAAATTTAATTTAATTAAACGTACATTGGTATATATTATTTATATACACAATTAATTAATCATTTTCTAAAAATAAATAATTATTATATTCTATGGCTTTTCTAGCAGGTCAACTAATCGTTGTATGGTATGGCTTCAAGAAAGCCCAATGTGTGCTGGTGATGCACTTACCGATTCAGGTCCAGCTTTCAGCTGGTGTGCTGCTTCCAATAATACCACGACTGTAAAAGCCTCTTCCCACGGTATGTTATTAATCTTTTTCTGTCATCAACCATTGCTTTTACAGTTTTACAATATTTATTGGGTTTTTTTTAGATTGCGGCAACGTAGATTGTGGTAGTAGCGGCTCCTGGTCAAATCACATGCCCAAACAACCATTTGTTGCTGACCCTAACATGCCACCACCACCTTTCCCCAATACAGACAACCAGTTGATCGAAGCCGGTCGTAGACTCAACGACCAGATGACGAAAAAGAATCATAAACAGAGGTAAGCTATTTAATATTTATTGTTTAATTTAATAACTACCAATGAAAAAATCTGTCATTATGAATAATTATAAATCTGTCACACATAGACTATTTAGTATTTCACATTAAAAATTCACTTTTACTATATTTGTGCATATTTTAATGTTAATAATAATGTTGTTTAGGACTTCTTCCTCATCATCTGGCCGCGGACTACCTGCAGAAGAATCAGCTACACCTTCAACGTCCAGTACAATGACAGCACCACCAACCACCACTACTGTTGTGTACAATTTTAACGATGAAGAATTCCCATTTAGGAAGAAAATAGCTGGACATCCAATCACTTTAAAACAGTTTATTGAATGTATGCCAAAGAAAGGACATTACAGGTAACAGTTTTTTATAGTTTTAGACTTTTTAAGAAAAGAAAAAATGTATTCATTATAAACATTGAGTAATACCACATTTTAAGCACATTTTTATATTGCATATCAAACAAAAAAAAAAAAAAAAAGAAAATACTCAACAACTAATTTTTAACATTTAATATTTGTAACACAGGTATTTCTTTACTACTGAATTTGATGAATCTCCATCAACCGGCATCCAAGAAGAAATCACTGACGACAATCAGATGTTGCCGCTATGGAAAGGCAAAGTTATGGCTAGCCTAAGACTTATCGACTGATTGAACAATATTTGATTAATTTATTATATTTTTTATTAAGTGCCTAGTTTAAGGAGCATATGACTTGTATAATAAATTTATAACTGTTAATTGTTTTTAAAGTACCTTAAGACTGGAATTTAGTCCAAAGGTAACAAAAAAAAAAAAAATTAATAATTATAATGTGTAATGTAAATCAGTGCCTTAGTTATAAACCAAACGCTAATCGATTCCCATTGACTAGTGTGAAAGAACAATAAAAGTGTAACATTGGTAAAAGAAAAAAAGACTTATACGTTTTGTAAGCCAAATTTTATTGTTTTTTTGTTATTGCAAAAAAAGAAGAAATGTATAAATTTTTATAAAATTATTATGTTTTATTTTTATATATACCCTAATTGATCCTTTTACAATGTAAAAACCTATTTTTTTTTTTTTTTTATTATTGTTATTAGTTGTGAATGTAATGTGTCTATTTGATAATAATGATAATGTGTCACCTACAATAAAGCATATGGTGATGTATTCATGAAATTTGTATTTTTCTGATAGAAATAGTTTGTAGCCTGAAACAATCCAACCCAAAAAGCTCTTGAATTATGACCTCAAAAAATATTATAATTAATTCAATGTTAATGGTTCAATCGTGAGATTAAGTCTTTTAATCCACAAATGAGAATAAAAGTTTAAATGTATCGAGTATGAAGAATATTATAGTAGGGTGAGCTTAATAAATTAAAATAATTATAAATATTATGACATTATAATTATAATAATATAATGTATGATTAGGACGAGAAATAAGTATGTAAAAAAATATGATATGGACTCGTGTCTGGCCAAAAACAGGGACAGCATGTATCGAAATTTTTTGGACCATAATTTTTGACTTACGACAAAAACCATAACGCCATATTAATATTTTGTATTTCCAAAAGCCTCCCAATCTATTATGCTTGGTAATTTTTTTATATTGACCTTAATAAATTTTTGTTCACGATTATAAATTTTTATTTTTTTTACCAAAAAATTTTAAATTATAAATTATAAATTTCATTTTGCTTGTCGACATTAAATTCATTTTATTTTTTATAGCAACAACACTTATTATTTTTATGTATGACCGTATTTCTTGTATACATTACCTATCAAAACGAAATGTGACTGGTGGGCAGTGGTGACGTTGCATGGTGATCCGAAACAAAATGTATGTTGAAATGGCATGTACAATATGTACATATATGTATAAATATCATGATATAATCATGTAGTCATGTAGATACTGCTTATAATATGTTTTCTTATTTCCAAAGTATAAATATTATTATTATTATTATTATTATTTTAAACAAATTATTCGATCGATTATGTCATATTATGGTACCTATATAACTATATATTATAGCTAAAAAATATATGATATAATAGATATTAATAAACATGCTCCAATTATTTTAATTATATATTTGCACTACTTGCATTAGTAACCACCTCTCCACCTCTCCTCCATATCACAACTCAAATTCAAACACTAATCTACTGCAGTTCAGTGCGTGTCCACTGCCATTACATTCAACAACACAAACCGATAACCCTGATCCCCATAAGTCCACCATCACGTCATCTTAAACCCGATCGGCCTAGAAGTCTCACGTCTCGTCGACTAATCAAACAGAAATAATTTTATGTAAATTGTATTTTAATTAAAGCCTATTATTCATGCATACTATGTATACCTATCTAATAACGATCAGCCAAATAGGTGTACCTTATCCTATACGTATAACAGTGTTCTCGAATGAAACGTTTGGTCCGACATCCATTGTGACTCGCGAGTTTGTAATGTTTGTATAGTTAAAATTTCAAAAATTTCGATAATTCGTAAACGATAAATGTTACAATATTTGACCCCATCGGCGCGCGCTCATCCTGAGAAGTTGGTGCCAATGACATGTTTTATGTTTATTTACTCGTCTTGATGTTAAAACGATCGGCGACGGTTTTCCAATGTTTCGACAGCGGTTTCGCCCTGTCGGCGGTCCGATGGTCCACTGCCTGCACCAGGTTGCTGAACTGCAGTCGGGCCATCAGGTGTTTGTTGGTAACTGACCGGACAAACTGCTCGTCGTAACAGTCGGCAGGGTCGCCGTCCAACCGGCAGTGCACTTCCGCCTCGGACCTGGTCAGCAGTACGCAGTTCCACGGCGACCAGGGCTCGTGACGGCGCCACCGAACTAGTCGGAGGCTGTTGAGCTGACCCGATTCGCTCACGGCCGACTTCTCGCGCCACACGATGGACACCAGTCGGTACACCTCGGTGGGCTGCATCAGGAAACATTCGGACCCGTACGCGGCCATCTGCATCTCGTCGTGCCGGAGCGCCTTCAGCATACGCCGGTACGGGGCCATGTCGATGCGCTTGTGTCCCACCTGCTCCGTCCATTCGCAGCTGGCACACACGTTGGTCCGGTTCACCCGGCTCTCCAGCGAAAAATCGGTGGCCGCCAGGTTGCGTTTGCACCGGATGCACGTGTACACGTTGAGCAACCGCTTCTCGGTGGGCCGGTAGTACGAGTCGGCTTCCGGGTTCACGTCCGGCTGCCGGATGTAGTGACGAAACATCTGTTCGACCCGGGACCGCGCTGACCGCAGGCTGGCCGCGTCCGCGCCCATGTTGACCAGGCCCTTTTCCACGGCCACGGCGGCCAGCAAGTGCTCCTTGTACTTGTAACACGATTCGGACACCGCGGCGTGCAGCTCGTCGAGCGCTTCGGCTCGGTCCACGCCTTCGCGCGGGATCACGATTTTCGCGTACAGCTCTTTCAGCGCCCGGGCCTTCTGGTTACCCACCGTGTCCACAGTCAGCAACTTGCCCGCTCTGTTTTTGAACATCTTCGGCTTTGACGTCTTGTTCAGGAACGTCACGTCGTCGTGCTTGGTCAGCTCGTACTTGAGATCCGACCGCTGTTTCTCCATCTCTAACAGGAATTTGATTTCCTTTTTGAGTAAGTTCATCTGTGCCGCCTTCCTCGACTTTTCCGCCTCGATCTCTTTGATCCGCTGCCGCTCCTTCTTCCACCACTTTCCGATCATCGTGTACAGTGAGTAGAAATGCTGCTGCTTAGATTCCAAAGTCGATGTTGTCACCGCAATACCGCTGTCAGGTCCGGACGTCATGCTGCGAGACTGCCTCTGTCGCAACAGTCGCCGCTGTTCTTCGTCTTTATCCGCTTCGGCTGCGGCCGCTACACGTCGTCTCTCGCGCGCCGCCAAAATCCTTCTGAACGCCCGCTGTATCTTGAGTACGCTGCTTAGGACGCGATCTTCCTGTAACCACGATTGATAACTTTGATAACGCCTTGGCTTCACCCACCTCCCATCTGTGTACTCGACATTGCCGCTGCAATAGTCGCCTCGATTGGTCTGGGTCCACGTAGATCGACTCGTCGGCCGGCCCACCGCCTTGTCGATGCAGGTCTGCGTCCGGCCGTCCGTGCGGTGGACGACGCACGGGGCGCTAATGAAAGCCTTAGGATCGGTCTGCGAGGTCGCATGATGGTATGTCTTGCCGGTACGCTTGTCCCGGTACCCGCCCAGCCACCGCTTATGGCCGTCCACGGGACCACACCGTTCGATTTCCACTACTAATTGCTTGCGGTTCACATCCACTGTGATGACGTCCACCGCTGGCAAATAGTACGCGGGTGGCTTGGGAAGTCGTACGCCATCGCCCCTCAAGTGCAGTTCGAAAATGCCCAACGACGTCGCCCCGAGCTCTTTGAGCGTCTGCTCGTCGCTAGGCCTATGCGATACTTCTCCCCCCACTTCTTCGCGTTCAATGATGATTAAATTCTGGTCCGTATTCAGCGTCCGGTGCAGGTGCGACTTGAGCGCACCGATGTCGGTATTTAGGTTGAACGCTTGCGTGAGAGTTTCGTTAGCATCCGTGAGGAACTTGACCGTCACTATCTCGTTACCGCGTAAGTTTTCGGTTGTCCCATTAAAACTCTGAGACGTTTTACCCGACATTGTGACAATGAGTGATGAAAGATGATATACTGAACAGGTGTCAATAGGATAAAGGTAAGAAGTGATACATTTTATTTAGTTTTCGCAAGGAGGGATAATTTAACATAATCTGTATTTCCATACCAGCTAGGGGTCGTACTATTGATCACACTTAAATCGCTATGGCGACTCAGGTAGTAGATTAGAATTGTTATTATTCAATAAAAACATTTAATTTTTTTTTATAGATAAATTAAATATACAGCTTATATTTATTACAACCCGATACATAAAAAAAATAATAAAATATTAAATATTATTCATTACATTTAATTGTATTGTACAAGTGGTACAATATTAAGGATTATAATTCACAGACATGCTTAATAATCTTTGTAGTTTGTGTAATATATATATAACAATAAATAGGTTTTGCCTCAATTGTCTAATGGTTCTTGATTGACTCCGTCTTTATTCTTAAACATTGTTATCAATACTGTTAAAAGAGGCCTGAAACCAACAAATTAAAATTATTGAATATATATTTATATATATAAATAGATAATCTTAATTGTTAATACCCAATGACTCATGTAATGAGCAATAGATAATACTTACAGATTTAATGTTTTATCAGTGTCTTGAAGACCTAATAATGAAGTGATTTGATTACGATAGCCATTTGATTTTAATTCAGTTCCCAATTCTTGAATTAATAAAATAAACATTAATTACATATTATGTACTGTCAAAATTGATAATATTTATTTATTTTATCATATACCTTTCTTAAACGTTGAATTTGTCAATTCATATCCCATCCAATCCAAGTATTCAGATATGAGTTTGTTAATCAACTCAATTGTTTCAGATTGTTCAGGTTTATTTTTTGTTGTACTAATCATACGTTTATTTACCAAGATTTTATTTATTTCGGCTTCTACAGTTGATACAAAGTTGTTCCAAGTAGGACTATTCTTTAAAGATTGTTTAACAACTAAGAATAAAAAAAAAACAATAAACAAATAGTAATAATAATAATAGTAGCTTTATTTATTTGATTTAAACTTAACATTATGGCACAACAACTATAAAAATAATGCAAAAAACAGATGAAAAAAATATAATAATAAAAAGGGAATTGATTTAAATTAGGAAATAGCACCATTTATAGAATTATTAACAATTGTTTTTATGTTGATGATTGTTATTTCATACTAAAAATTAACTATTTATGTGTCATTTACTAGTCATTCATTATGACTAATTTTTTTTTTTTTACTATAATTTTCAAGTTCTAAAAAAAATGTATGAATCAATTACTATAAAATTAATAGAATTAACAAAACTTAGTGTAATTAATTTTTATAGATAAGTTAGTTCTGTTTTTCGTGGCGTTTACCCTCAAGATTTGTTTGAATAGCATCGAAATTCTTTAGACAAGCAGGTAATAATTTTTAATACTGGTAAGTCGTAGATACCTTCGTGCAACTTTGTATCCATGGCATCAGTTTGTCGTTCCATCGCCATTACTAGACGATGTCTAGTACTGCAGTAAGTCCGCAGGGCAGACTTGAAATCATAGAACTAACGTTTCACGTCATCCAAAAGATTTGAGCGCCGGATATCGAGTGTTCACGGTTTTTGTTTTTTGAATCGTAATTCGTAATCTCGATCGGCCGATATCGCGGTTGCTAAGCGACAACGGTCGACGACAAAAACAAAATCTTAAATCAGCGCTCGGCGGTCGCTAATCGTTATCACAAGTCACAACCGTTGACCATGTGCAGTAACTTAAACGGCTAAGCCACTAAACGTACGGTATGAGACATCAAATAATAATAATATATTAATATATAAATATACTACAACAGATAACGCGCATTTAAGCCATGACGAAAGTTACCTAACATGCAACGGCAAACATATTATTGTGATTACTATAATCATGATTAGTGTCTATCATATACAATTAGTGCGGTACTATATTATACAACTATTAACTATTAACTGTGTACTGCATTTTCAAATCTAATATTGTTGTTATTTACTTGACTTTTATTTTGTTATTTTACGTCTTTAGTCTATGAATTACAAGGTTAAATATTTTCTGGACCTTAATTGATAGTTAATTACCATCAATAATTTCTCCTCGGCATTGTACAACACTATTGTTATTTATTGTAATCTGTGAACGATTTCTTGCTGGTGTCGTTTTTACATTATTTTTGTCGACATAAATGATTCACAAATTCGGTCGGTAGAAGCATATCGATTTATTTCACATCTCACACGTTCAGATTGTGCTCCAGAAATGGATGTGGTTAATGATAGTGAGTAGAGTATATGCCTATAGTCGTCTCAATTCAATTGTGTTAACTATGTTTTTATGTAGATTTCTATCAGATGTTGCCGGAAATTGAACGGGCCATTGCTGAATGTGATTTCATTGCAATTGATGGAGAATTCACCGGTCTCCACAATGGTACTATGGTCAGCATATTCGATACGGCTGCTCAGTATTACCAAAAACTCAGAAGTAATTGTATGGATTTCTTGATGGTTCAATTTGGTCTGTGTGCTGTAAAATATAATGCTGAAAAGAAAAAGTAAAATATTACCAAAAGATTAAGAGTATTTGATTGATATTTAATAAAACTTTTAATGTGTTTAAATTAGGTTTACATACAGAGCGTATAATTTTTATACCTTTCCAAAGCCCATGAGTCGATACGCTCCAGATTGCCGATTTCTCTGTCAATCTTCCAGCATGGAATTTTTAAGCAATAACAATTTTGACTTCAATAAATTGTTTAAACATGGTAATTTACAATAATTTAATATTGTTTTGTATAATAAACTAATAATTTTTATTATTATAGGCATTCCTTTCCTTACTCTGCCTGATGAACAAGTATTACGAAATGAACTGCTTAATCGATATAAGCAAAATTGTTTACAGGCTCAGACACCATCAAAAGTCTCTGACTGTATACCTATACCAGATAATCATAAAACAGAAATAGAAACTGCTTGGTAAATATTTTTTTTTTTATTTTATAGTTCTATAGTAAATAAAATATAATATATACCTAGTATACAAACTTTAATGTCATTAAAAACCTTGAAGTGTGATTCAATTAAGTACCAAAAAGTATTAAAAATTTAAATAATTTTCCCTATCATCATAAAATTGTGAAAAAATAAAAAGTTAAGTAACAAATCGAGGTGCTGCTCTCATATGTGGACTACTGACATGTTTCTGCTCACGTATGCAATCTACCTTGTAAGATGTAGATTATATAATACCTATATTGTAATACACCATGTTTATATTTAAATAGTTATAATATAATGCTTATTAGCTCAAATTTAAAAAATATAATGTAATAATAATAATAATATATCCACCTAAAAAAAATGAAAAACCTCAATATAAAAAATAATAAATTGTATGATAAACTGTCAATAATGATGTGATAAAAGTCACATAGTTAAAAAAAAAATGTAAAAAATAGTAAATAATAATTTTAGCAATAAACTGTTTTAATATCTCTCAGAAATGCCATAAATATATCAGGTTCATCTTTACAAGCAATCTTCCAACAATAATGGTCAAGATGAGATTAATTAGTTTTTTAATTGAACTTCATAGTTTTCATGATCTTTGTCTTTACATCCAGTCATGTTCTCTCAATGCTTTGAATTTGAGCCCATATCGAAGAATCCATCTAGTTTGGCTGATGGTTGATCATTTTATAAATATATCCACTACCATTTAAACATGTATAAGTTGCCCACTCATTAGAGTGAATACAGAACCAGCTTCATATTATCGCTGTATAATTGAAAGTAATGTTTTTTTGTCTCTTTGAAGTACATAAAAATATCAGTAGTCAGAACCTTTTTTTAGGCCAAATACCCAAGATTCGTTTACTCTTTGTCCATGGTTTCTACCATTCTGTACTTCAACATCACTGTCTTCCGATGAAGGAAGTTGATCTCCATTGAGTGGCCAACCTTGATTATATTTTCTCTTTCCGGCAAATCTAGCTTCGTCAATCTGTAATCTGCATTGGATTAATCTCAGTTCCCAACATCTTTGGCCGTTTGTGAACAACATTTGAACATACTTCACGACACATATTAAACCAATCAGTAACTGTCTCTTGCCTTCTTCCTGTTAGAATGGCCGTTGTTCTAAAAGAAATATTCGATATGAAAAAAAAAAACTAATTCCAAAATTTTGGTGGGTTTGAGATTACTATTAGATGTATTGTTCAAGTCCTTGTTATGAAAAAACTTGTTCCCCTGTCGTATACCACACGTGGTCTGATAACTTTTTTTTTTTACTGAAGAACAGGACAAAAGTCACCTCCTCGATCTCGTTTTCTAGTATTAACCATTTCAGAACCATACTTATGACATGGCAATGTTTCTTTGGCAATATCTAATAAACTGTACTCACTTTAAAATGTAATGACATTATTTCACTCTTTGTGACAGTCAAATAAAATCTTTTAATTGCATAATGCAAACGATATACAAAACGGATATAAATATAAACGCTGTACAACACAATCAACGACTAATACGTAACTTACAAACCTATGAAATTTGTTATAATGTTGCATAGTAATTGTAGGTAGATTAGATATATCAAAAATTTTATTTTTTAATAACAATAAACATAGTTGGAAAATACAAGATATGACATATATCAGAACATTTTATGTGACTGATTTTATTTTATCTTTTAGTGGATGTACGTGTTTATCAAATAATTATTTTTTTCTGCTACAATATGTGATCTACGCTTATGATGGTAGACCGCATGCATTTGTAGTCTACATATGAGTGCAGCACTCAAATCGGTATACAAGTTATGCATGTAATTTTTACATATTATTATATTATTTATATTTAATTAATATTTTATTTTTGACAGTGAAAAAGTAAAAGAACTTTTAGAAAGCGAAACAAGTTCTGAAGTTATCGTTGCAGAGAAAACCAATTCTTTTGTCCGTAAACTTATCTATCAGGTTAGTTAGTAGATGATTTATTTTAATATATAAAATAATCAATTATTCAGGCTACATGATTATATTTAGATACCTACTTAATAATTATGCAATTAGCCATACTTAAGTGACAATATGCAGTGCATTAAGATTGAATTGTTTGTCTGATAAATTTAATAGTGTTCCACACATCCCTACGCTTATAAAGCAAATGCCATAATTGGCTGATTTACATAACAACTTTGTATGTTAGGATGTTTGAAGTATTTGGCAGTTAATTCTACATGTATGATCAGTTCCGTTAGCGGTTTATTCTTAAACTTTCATATTTGTTTAAAACTATGTATAGAATCCTATTTATTTATTGAGTAAAAAAAGCATTATTGATCAGTAAGATAATATATTTATTACACTTAGAAAATGTATGAATAAACACAATGTTTAGACTTTCAAGACATTTTATTTTAGCCTATTAAACTTTATAAATTTATCATTCAGTTTACTATGTGTTTTTACTTGCTTTGATAATATCAAGCCGAAATTTGGTATTGAAACTAGTTTTTGTTTATTGTATATCAATATGTTTTTAATTTTAGTATATTTTTTTAGGAAGTTTATAAAAGATTTTCGGATAGCAAAGTAAGCTTACAGTCAAGAATAGTAGAAGATATTGGTAACGTGATGATAGCTTTCAAGGGAAGAACAAAACTGTTAATGGCTCAAGAAAGAATGGAACGAGAACAGATTGAACTAGAAAAAGCTGTTGGTTTTTCAGCAGTTTTAAAGAAAATCATAGCTTCTGTACATTTTGTTTATTATAAAAGATAAATATTTTCATTTACTAATTAGATATATTTATTTTTTAAGAATAAACCAGTTGTTGGACACAACATGACATTAGATGTTTGCCACATGATTCATCAATTTTGTTTACCATTGCCATCTAGCTATAGTGAATTTCAAGCTATGGTTAAAACAATATCATATCGGTATGTCATATTTTATCCAATAATATAATTATTTCAAATTTAAAACATTGTGTAAAATTAATTTGTGCTAAGTTTTTTGGATACAAAGTATATCAGTGGTACGGAACCACTTAAGCCATTCTTCAATTCAACAGTATTGAATGATTTAAAAAAGTCATTATCAGAACAATGTCCAAATTATACAGATTTGGGTAATTAATATCATCTTTCTTTATTTGAAATAATTTTTAATAAAATCTTTAATTGTGTTATAGAACCAGAGGAACCTGAAGTTGGTTACTCTGAGGATGTATCTAAGTTGCATGATGCTGGTTTTGATGCATATTTAACCAGTACTGTTTTTGTTAACCTTTGCAACTTATATGGTGAGTTTGTATAACAATTTATAACATATAAAAGTATTGTGTAATGTAAAATAAAAAGCCTGTTAAATTTGTATGTATTGTTTCTGTTTTACATTTACAACTTACAAATTTGCATTAAACAGAACCGATTTTATGTTGTTAGCTTTAATAATGGTTTAAACTAACTTATAAATAAGAACATTATCTGTTTTATATGTCGGGTTTTAACTATATTGAATATTTTATTGGTTATAAACTTGAATAATATTATGGTTTTAAAATGTTGATAACTTATTTAAAAATCATTAATTAATTTATCTTAAAATGCCAAAATTCAAGTACAATTATTGTGTAATTGGACATAATATCTTGTATTATTTATTGTTATTATTATTTTCAACTACTATGCAGTGATCATACCACCAAGCATACCTACGTTCGCTCACCACTACATTGACTA